TGGAAATGGAAGGTTCTCTAAAGTCCAAAAAGATTATATATTTACTTTAGCCAAGATGCACTTCCAAAACAAGTAAAATTGCAAGGAAGTTTGATCAAAATGCTTAACTTTGATTGGGAAGCTTGTTTTTGATTATTAAGCTATCACAAAAGAAGTGAAACGAATTAACTTCGTATGAATTTTAGTCCTATTAAACTTAATTAAAATGGCATATCATTCCAATGCCTTACTGCATTTAACACCACAAAATTTTAAAGATTGGAGACATCTTCATGTCTCTCTTTGCAAAACATAAATATCCTTTATTTGGATATGAATTCTAATTGATCCTTGCACAATTAGTCCTTATCTCCCCCTGGCTTCCAGTCAAGACATTGACATTTCCCAAATTTATCATGGACTGGATGAAGCTATCAAAGAATTCACTCTGGCTCCCTGCAAATCTGTCCACTATGGACACGGTGTCAGCTCCAGTAGTGGAATACAACATTTGATCAGTGGCGAGAAGGCCTTGCTTGTTCTGAAGGTTGGTGAAGTAGTTGTTGTCGAAAGTATCCGGAGTTGAAGGATCAAGATTTGTCAATGTATTTGCATTCCCACCTTCAGGACATGTTTGTTGAAGTGTCGCTAATTATGTGGCATCCAGGGAAGGGTCTGTGGCTCCGTCCTGGCCATTGAAATCGTAAAGGCGTTGGTTGAATGTGCTACATCGAGCACGTCCAAATGTATGTGCACCTAAGAATCAACCATATAACATTCAGTCACTCAATCCAGATAAAAAAGGAACATGTGTTTAGGATTGGTCATGTTGAAGCTATATGTATTGGCAAAATTACCTGAGAGAGCAACTAGATCAGTGGCATCATCAAGTCCAGCATCTCTGAATTTTTTTTGGAGCTGATCGAATGTGTCGAAAGGACTTGGGACTGCAGTGGTTCCGGCTGCGTTTGCTGTCCTGCTATCTCTCCTTCCAAGTGGCACTTGCCATGTTGGGCCTCCTGCCTGCAAATTAATTAGAGATTTTAGATTCTAACATAATGAAGTGGGATCAAAAGACAAAGGTACATGGTCAATAAATTAAAGCATATATACCATAGAAACACCAATTTGAGATGCAATGGCTAAAATATCAGCACAGGATACAACTCCAGGGCAGACATTCTCTAGTGCTGCCTTGATGTCGTCAACGGTGGCATATCCATCAGTCGTTTGGTTAGGGGCTTCATCCTTTTCACTGTCTATCCCATTTGCAGCATCATCATCCAAAAGAAGTGATCCATCACACCCCTGAAAAAGATAACATTAATCATTAGTAGGTACTTTATGGGAAGAGAATTCAAACTTGGGAATATTATTAATTAGTGGGACTAATAATTTGAACTTTTGACTAATAAACACATAATACACATATGAATACGTTTTCAAAGATATGGTAACTTACATTGACCATGCAATCGTGAAAGTGAACGCGAATGAGCTTGGCACCAATCCGAGCATCACTTTGCTGCGCCTGGTCTAGCACCCCACGTACAATACTAGTCACATTTGCGCATGTGTTAGCATAAAAAGTGGGGCTAAGTTGAGCAGCAGATCCTCCCAGCATCATAGGTACAAGGAGAACTGTAATTGGCAAAGTAGACATGATTCTGTTTCTCAAACTTGCCATGGAAATGGAATTATATATTTTAATGGAATGATATTGTGAGTGAGTAGCAATAAGTAAGCTCCAAGTTTATATAGAGAGCTAAGTAGCTGGAGCTGCTATAGGGCAAGTTGACAAATGAGAATTTTTCTTCATTTTAATTTTCTTTGATTTGATTGGAAAAATTCTAATATGACAACTGCATAGTCCAAACCTACATAAATGCAGAGCCTGAAAATAAACTAGTGTTCATGAACGGTACTATTGATAGTTGGTTGGACATTCATTTCCTTTGAAAGAAAGGGAAGAATTCAAATTTTCTAAAAGCATTATACTACGTAAAAGTCAAAAATTCGGTGCTGGGGATATAAGCTAAATCCAGAAGGAGTTTCTTCTCTAAAATGACTTGATGCTGCATCTACATTAATAAGAATATTGCCTTCGAAATTAGTGTGTCTGCAATAATAAGAATATTGCCCTCGAAATAAATGTGCAATGTTATGGCTATATGGGTTTTTTTGTAATTGTAAAACTATATTAATAGAATTCAATAATTGTTTTTAAAAATGTATTATATATATAGAAAAGCAAGTATTAATCTATATTATAAAAAATTAAGTGAAAAAAATCTAAAAATCATATCGTTTTAATAAAATTTCATTAATAAAAAGATTAAAATGCCATAAGTTTTAAAGCAAAAATAAAGTTGTTTTAGTCTTTTTTGGGTGAC